TTTCATAAGGAGAACGCGGTGAACGAGATCGTTTGCGTTCTAGTCGCTCTGGACGGTCAGTTTTATATCTGTCCGGTTGCCAGTGTTGCAGTCGTGCAGGTAGCGGTGCCACACGTCGGTCCAAGTTTCGATCCCCCCGTTCCAATCGTCTTTCACGTGGTGATCGGCTACGTCTCCTTTCAAACCTTGAAAACACAAAAGATGCAGTAGTATTATTAAACTATTAAACTACTGCATCCCTTGTGTTTTAACATGAGACGGAAGTCGGTGAAAATTCAACAGTACTCTTCACTCATTTTTTATCAACCGACTGATCTATTCATAAGAAGGACTGTTAAAACCATCATTCCGATGGAAACAACCACTGATCAGTCGCCTTTTTCGATGTATAAAAGTATTTTCATGATTTGCATCATAAAAGAATTACCGATTAGCTGAATGATCGCGACGGGACTCTTCACGTTGAAGAACGTCTACTGGAGGTGAAATTCTTTTTCGTGCTGTTTTTTGAGGTAGTCCCGGAACTGCTTCAGATGTGGAAATCTTTTCACCGTCCTTCTCATCTCGAGTCTAAAAATTCATGTAAAACACTTCCTCTTGCATATCATTTCTGAAAAAAATCGGTGAAGTTAATTTTAGACAATGCATAAATATGCAAACCTTCTGTTGTTCTCTTTCTTTATCGCTTTGACTGACAGTCTTTCTCTTGACACTTTCTCTTTTCTCCTTTATTTCTTTTCGCTCATCAGTGTCCTTCTTTTTTTCATACAATGGAAAAGCATTTTTTGACTGTAGCATGGGAGCGGTAGCTGACGCTGTTGCGGTAATTGTTATATAGCTACGTTCTCTGATGATATGAAACAGTTTCTCCACAAAAGGTCTTGCTTCTGAAAGAAAACTGTTCATCGCCACACTTGTCTAATAAGAAGCTAAGCAAGAGTTGACAAAGGTAATAAATATCTTATATCAGATAAAAAAAGGGCAGGATAATGTATCTTAAGTTACATTTCATAGCTTGTGGTGTAAAACAGTTTCATTTTTCTTGCTATAGAAAGAAATGAGGAGATAACGAAGAAAGTAAAGTCGGTATATTTCAAAGCAAAATGCAAGATCATACTTGTTTGCAAGAAAACGTCGAGTTGTTCAATGCAGAATTCCATCAACTCTGGTTCTGGTTTATCCTTACGTAAAAGGGCCAGTACATACTTTGCAAGAGCTGCTGGTTCAGCATCACATCTGAAAATGGTTAATTTTTTTCATTAACCATAATCAATTACTTAAAGATAAGCACTAGAAAAAAGCCTTACATTGGAGCCATTTCTCTAGTAAGCCATGCGCGTAGTGCCTCCGGTGCTTCTATAATCATTGTTGTGTTACCACTCACCTTACGTTATGAGAACAGGCCTGGAAATAGCTTGATTTATTTAGCAGAGCAAACGTACTTGCATGTGCTATATGTAAAAATATCGTGGATAGATTTGTCGAATCAAAGTAACCAGAAGAGAGCCGACTGGAGAGAGCCACGACGAGTGAAAGATTACAAGAAGCATTCCGATGTGAGTTTTTTATGAAGTTTAATAAAACGATATTTGATTAAAGTACAAAAAAACTACATTGACTGTGTTTCAAATCGAAGATTATTCGTTACTTGAGGAAAATAAGGCCCTATAAAAACTCTACACTTTAGATGTATTATTTTCTATCACACCTACAGCTCTTTAGTCTGAAGGAAATGGGATCACAAAGAAGACAGCAATGCTTCCATTGAAATGAATAGAGATATGCCAGAATGATATGCCATTACCAATCTGCTCCATCTCTATACGGTTACAACATTATCAATACCAATATGGTAAATTGGTCCAAATGATATTCGTAAGAACTAATTTACTTATTTGGACTAATTTATTTTTTTTTTCAGGTTTCGAAAATCAAGTTAATACACTTTTGATGTGCGTATTAATGTTGCAGCGTGACTATTGCAAAAGGTACAATGAATGTTATGCATATCACAAACTATATCATTAGTGTCCGAGAAGTAATAAGTGATGTACGAGCCGATAATCAGCCTACTCGAAGTCGTAAAAGGCTACAACATACATACAAATAAACACATACACATACACATACACATACACATACACATACACATACACACACACACACACACACACACACACACACACACACACACACACACACACACACATACACACTCACCATCATTATACCAAACCATTCTCCAGCACTACGCGAGCGAGCGAGCATATGGAATCGAAATGAAAATGTTGATCCTTTTGTTCTAGTTAGGAGTACAAGTTTTGAGATGCAAATAGATCATCCCCTTCATATTAGAGCGATGATAATGAGTTTTATTGAGGTAATTATCTACATCAAGTGCTCTTATTGGTGTATCAGAAAAAGGGCAGAGGTGAGATATAACATTTAAACTCAATCCTAAATTTACAAAAAGTCCCAACGTATAGTTTATGAATAACAGTTGGTAATCCCAAAATACTCAGAATGATTAAAGTGAAACATTAGCTCGACCACTTTGTTTTGTCTTAAATATATATTACTTAGAAATGGTAAATAAGAAGTGAAAAAAAAATCAATGTTCTGAATCGAAATTTTTCAACCTCTCACAGAGAAATCACTGCTTTAGCTTGTAACTGAAAAGGAGACAATTTTGAGTTGATACCTCGCGCAAGTTTCAAATGCATTCAAGCCGGTTATAGTAGTGGTCTGTATATTCACCAGACCGTTATGTCCACTCCACACTCTTTTCTTGTTATGTTATAAGAGCGCATGACATTTAATTTAAACAGTTATTTCTTTTTCCATTTTTCAAACTTCATATATTACGTGCGTAATATTAATATTAACATTAATCCACCAAGCCATGTATCGATTAATCTGCTTGTCAAACTGTCAATTTTTTCCATTCTCTTCAAGCAAACACATGGTTCAATATATTTTACGAAAAGAAAAAAATTTAAATTAAAAATGTTAATTTAAACATTATCTTACTCGGATATTATCTATCAATATCGACATTACTTATTAATAGTATCTTAATGATTTTATGGAATAATATGAAGGTTAGTCATCTTTTCCTGATACAATCTTAAAGATTCTGTTCAAATCAACTTAATCCTTGAAATTTTGCGAAGACAGTGGGTCCCGAATCCATGTTTGAATGCAGCTGCAACATTCTCGGGAAATGTGAATAATGTTTAGGATATGTGATAAGCTTCTTAAAACTCCATATTCCTATCTCTGCTGTAAAAACAACGCTTTTCTATGGAACACAGTAAACCTTTTCAAGTAATAAAAAAATTATCGAGCAATGAAATTTGAGCGACCATGATTTAATGGATAATTATTTACTGATGACAAGAGAAATAAAGAAACAAGTGTTAATGCTTGGAAACAATGATCCTTGAATGATTCCCCACCCAATATAGTGAACACAAAGAAATATAGCAGTGATACAAGTATACAATTGTTGAAACCTTACTACACATCGGCTCCCATTGAATCATTCGCTCATTTCATTCACTGCTAACGCAAAGCTAATTTCGGAAATGAAAGTGCATTGAATATATTACAAATGTCCACTAAAGAGGTAAACTATTATAACTAATTAAACATGCATAGTGTGTGATATAGTATATAAATTCGTTTAATTAAAGCAATAGAATCCAATAGTAGTATAATAACAGTACTTGACTTTCAAGTGATCAATGCGACCATCTGTTAGGTAATCAAAACATCTGAAGTCAACAGCAAGTAAAATAATTCAAACTAATTAAGCATATCCGTACATTTTTCGAGTTGGAAATATCCGACAATCTCTTCCAAAAACATCTGCGATACTGCTTACATTACTCCAAAACTAGCATACTCTCATCTGTTTTGCCATGTTTATTTTTGGTGTAATTAACCAAAGTTATAAGAGATGTACCTCTGTACAGAATTCCAACTTCGAAAAAGATGTGTTCAACTAAAAAAGGTAGAAAATACATCAATATCAAAAGTGACAGCCAATGGGATTAATATTAAAGAAATTAAACAAAGCAATGAATTTTTAGAAGCTGTACGCTTCCCTATCAAATGTCGTAACTCGCCACAATTGCAAAACAAAAAATAAGTGAAGTGCAGTCATGAAGTTATAAAAATGAAGTAAAATTAAATTGTACATCCCACTGACGATAACAACGTTGTTTTGAAAATAAACCTAAGAACAAAATATTAGTAAACATGAATATCTCGTAGACTTTGCAAAAATACTTGTAAATTAAAACAAATCTGGAACCAAACGTTTTAAAAAATGTTCTGAATTATAATAATAAAATTTTTTAGTAATCAATACGTCTCTGCCTTATATCTTTTAAACCACGCTGGTCAAACTATTCATTACTTTCCAAATACCAAGAATAACAATTGTGTAATACTGTTGTTCCTTGTCTTTCATATCGCCAAATTCCTCGTGATTATAAAAATTATGGTAATTTTTGAACCCGAATCGTTCACATTTTTTGAACACCTTGCAGAAGTAGCGGTTATGCTTGAGATAGTAATAAAAAACTTTAAAAAGGCTTTATATTTTGTAAATGTCTTATTCATCAAATTTAGTGATCTATAAATCTTATAAAGCTGAAAATCACAGCTCATAATGTTGACAAAGCGATTCTAGAAATTTTCAATTATACGGGTTATTTTAAAATCCATTAGCTCTTAAGCTTAAATAATTGGAATTCCGCGGTTTCGATTTCTCATCCCTGTACGACAATTTTAGTACGAAATAACAGCAGATGTCATTTACAAGAAATTTACATAAATGAAAAAGTCATTTGTTTCCTAATTTTATGTAATTGTCTTTCTATTTTTCTAAGCGCCTGTTCCAACTCTCCTGATATTTCAAAAACAGAATACTATGCTTCGGCTGAAACAAAAGCATTGTGAACCAGAGTTTGTAAATCAAATTGTGCGGAATGTTACATTTTACTTTCTTCATTCACTACATCATGCTTTTCGCCTTTCATTCCTGAATCATCTTCATTTTCTACAGAACTGGATTCAGTATCAGACGATGAATATGCAACATTTTTTTTCTTCGCGATGTTAATGTGCTGAGGATGTAGGAGGGAAAAGAGAACGGATGTAATGCTTGATTTCGGTAAATGCTTACTATCATTTGCTGACTCCTTGACGGCAACTTGTCTCTTTGGTGGTAACGAGCAGGGGAAACAGTGACTTGACTGAAATGAATGAAATTGGTGTCAAAAATTTGCTATAAAGTATGAATAATTACTTATTAATATATAGCAGCTGGTAATATCTGCTTAATAATGTACATTTTCACTCCACCGCTCTATTTTATTACCAAACTTTATTTATAGTAAAATGATTGTGTCTGAAAATGAATCACTGAAAAAAATATATCAGGTCTTTTATAACGAAGAGGCAAACAAAAGCTGAAGACATCCATTTCAAGAAGAAAACAAACCTTGTGAAGTAAATCATTTTTTCGGTCATTCTCTATCTTCCTAAGCTTCTGTTTCAATCCTTTTGACATTTTCAATATCGAAATATTATGTTCTAACTAAAGGAAGTATTCTAAAATTGAGAAGACCAAATCATGCAAGATAATAGTTTAGTTAGCTGAATATCTAGATTTAGAAAAAATACAAGTCCCGCTCAGCTCCTTCACATTCTTTTACAATTCCTATAATTTTTCCTATTTACGTATTCAAGATTTTTTCTTACTCTATTACTAAAAAACGCGGACGATAAAAAGTATCTCCACTTCATACTAAATTAGTAAAAAAAAAAAGACAGACCTTGAAATGTTTCTTTAGACTGTCAAGAGCACTGATAACGGTAGTACAACCAGAGAGTGGACAGATGGCAGACCAATAAAAATGCTCTTTTAAAACATGGTTTCTTCGACTGCGATATGTTCCCAATGTCTTTCCACACTCTGTGCACTACAAATTAGGATATATTCTTATAAGCGATATTATTTAATGCAGTTCACTAAACAACTTTTTTTTCTTACGACACAATCGATAACTATTTCAATATCAATAAACTATTAAAAATAACATCTAAGTGGCATCTAAATGATTCATTCACCTGATAATCACTCCAAGATAAGGAATGAGGAAAACAAGCTTTTACAGTAGCTGGTAGCAATTCGGTGATTTCCGGATCGTCATCTTGGCTAAAGTGAAATTGTAAAGCATGCGTTTTCCTAGCAATGTAATCGACACCCACGTCCTAAAATCGTTAATAGCATTTTCCTGATTGCTTAACAGAAACTGTTACTCGATTGTTACTCCTAATATTAAACTCACGTTTCTTATTCTTAATAAGCTTTTGTTTCTCTTTTTCACTAATACTATATTTCATACAAAATTTAGGGATATTATTTTCCTGATCCAACTAACTTTCCGTATGTGGTGACTTTTTGATGCTTCACTGTGTAACTAAAACGATTTGGCTTATACCTAATGAAAATTTTAAATGTAACCAACAAGTATAACATCAAATAAATTAGACGAAATTAACAAACCCTGCCGCATTTATGACATGCAGTGTTGAACTGCGATGTTGCAACCAATGAAACAGAATTATTCTAAAAACAGATTTTCATGTAACTGTTAAGAAAAAGAAAACTAAAAAAGACGGCTTACTAAAAATGCTACACTTTCATTCTCTTTGAAAATAACTCGACAGAACAGCATATGTGTTACTACGCTTAAATTTTCCAGTGTTTTTAGTCCCATCAAACTGATGATGTAACAAATGAGTAAATAAGAACGGTTAGAAAGTAGATCAGAAAAAGTAATAAAGGAAAAGAAAAAAGTTACCTCTACAGCCCGTTTTTTAGTACCAGAAGTCTTCATGTCGAATCTGCTGCCTTCTCCATCAATCGAAACAACGTTATTAACAGCAAAAGCATTTAAAAGTTTGTCAGAATTAATAGTTTTAGCATTTTCCAACGCGCCAGAGAACAATCCTGAGGCATAAACTGTTTGCTTATCAAGTTCTGATAATTTACAGGATTCACTATGATCAGCAGTAGCCTTCGAAATAATTTTGGTAATGTGAATTCTCGATTCGGGTTTTTCTTCATCATCTGAATTTAACAAAATTTCTATTTTCTTCCCCAAAATGAGTTTCTCAATCGAAATTTTACTTGTATATCTCTGTTTAGAACGACTAAAATCCTAAAATCCTGAAATCAACTTGGATATTCTGTTGGGTTCGGAGCAACTCCACAATTCTCTTGGTTTTCCAGCATCATTTGCAAATTTCCTTCACGCTCCAATAAACTGGAGGAACATGGGTCATTCGTCTTCTTCTTGGCTTTTTTTGAATTACATATCTTTCGAATATCTGGACCTGAATTCCAATTGCTTCTTTTCTTTGATAGCCTAAACACTTCAGAAAATTCAAACCTAACAAAATTGTTTACAATCAATTTACACTATGGGTTTGACTTAGAAGCTCTAAATGCCAATAGAAGCATAAACAAAAAAGACACTAATATGTGAAATTTACTCCGAGATAACGTCTTCTTGCTTTCCCATTCCATGTCGAATAGCAAATTGCTCACTACAGCAGTCCCGGAAGATTTTAACTGCTAGGTGTTCTTGATAGTTAGCTTTATCGAACTGAAAAATTTGCAGTTTTAATTTGGTCCTTGACGAAGAATAAAGTGATAAATAATAAAAAAGTGAAAAAATCAGAATGCAGGTCATATTATAAAAAAATCCATAATTTTTTGTTAAAATTGATATATGATAATGTTTCAATAAGACATGTTTTATATAGAAATTAATAAAACCAAAGCTAACCTTCAGATCATGATTTTTTTCGAAAGAGTGCAAGATAGCGTCATTTTCATCATCAGATTTAAACAAACATTTCGTGCATTTATAACGTTGGTAATTGAGGTGCTTTTGCCGGATATGCGACAGAAAACCTTTGAATGGCTTGCTGACATCGCACAACAAACAGTGAATATTTCTGGAAAAAAGGATTTCTAATCAAAACGCTGAGAAGCCATCAGATATTAATAAAACCAACATTCACGTTAACGTATTGTCCAGTCCATACTTACTTCACTTCTTTAAATTGACCATTGTTAGCCTCCATGTGAGTTCTTCAACACAACATAAAAGCATTCTATGATAGTGCACAATCAACCATTCGTTTCCTAAAACAAATGAAAAACGCTCATATGAATTCATAGCTGCATAGGTTCTCACAGTTCTCATCCTTTTCTCGAATTGCTCTATATGTGACCAAATCTTATTCAACTAAGTGAAGTGAAAAAATACCGCGAGATTGACAAAACCAAGAGTAATAAACCATATCCCACTAGAATAATAAATCCTTTACTCATTTACTATCCTCAATTAATTGAACTTTCTTGATTAAATCTCATGTTTCGAAAAAGTACATATCATCAAACTCCAATCAGATAAGAGTGGATGTTGGTTATTAAAAAAGGAGACTCAAACCGACTCAAGTTGTCCCCTCTCTTTCTCTCTCTTCCTATGCAAGCACAAAATTCCCAGCTCTCCGCGAACTCTTTGATATTACACATGATGCCCCACACAAGAAAATGAAGAGCTTTTCAAATTGCAAACATTTATGAACCGCCTCATTTCCATTTAAATTACTTATGAAACAGGTTGTCTCAAGGGGGAATTCATTTTTCAACGAAGTGTGAAATTGGTATGTTTAAAATATTCTACCTGTCTCAAATGTAGACATTTTTCGAAATTCTTAAATTATAATTCTAGTATAAGTAATCTCAGACATTTGATCAATAATTTTGAGTTTATTTTAGAGTTTTAGAAACTTTTTGCATATTTTCAAGATCTTTAACTTAATTTATAGAAATGTGTGTTCTAATAATTTAGTTTATTTTAAATTCAAGATGAAGTAATTTAAGTTTGAAAATTAAATATTAGAGGCATTCGGATGAGTTCAGTCATTTCCTCCTTTTAATGAATTTCAGGTGCTTATATTCGACTTGAGTAATTGTAAGCGCTGAAGTTTAAATTCATTTTTTGGTATCATTTGGTGATAGAAATGTGTGTTCTAATCTTTTAGTTTATTTTGGAATTTTTCACTTATAATAAAAAGGTATATTATTCTTTTTTTTCATTGCTGTCATCTTTTTTTAGCCATATAATAAGCGAAGTTATAGTTTTAGTTTTCATGACTTTTTCTGTAATTTCGAATAATTTTAATTGAAAAATCTCAAAATTGATTAATGATCCACGATGTTGAAGATAATGATAAAAGATAGCTTTTGTTTTGCGTGCAGTCTCACTCTGTCTCTTTCTTTCTCAACAGAGAAAGAAGAGCTGATGGACAAGAGCCTTAGCCGCTCCTCATATTGATAGTGCTATTTAAATTGTCCATAATTTGCCTTTTATCGCTAATTCTAAGGACTGATTTCAAAAGAAAGAGTGATTCGTTATGTATGTAGTGGTCAGAACTGATGTTCACCACCGGCTATCTGTTAATGCGGCATCTTATTTCATCCAACGTATGTATGCAGATATTCGGGTATGTTCTACGATCATTACGGTATGTTTTTTAGATATTTCGGTATGTTCTGCGAAATTTCGGTATGCCTTCAATCATAATGAGTTCAAATCAACGGTGACATTAGAAGGATAATAATCACTAATTAATGCAAATTTAAAATTTCATTCATTTTACTTTTCTCTCTTCGTTTTCCAATAATAATGTAATTCTAGCATTTAAATTTTCCAAATATTTTACTTTGTAATTTTGAGATTTGAAAGTATATTCAGTGTATTTCATAACGAAAAATGAAGTATTTAATTTGGAACCGTAAGTTTTGAAATGCAGAGAAAGATGTTGAAAAGGACTCAGCTAGTTAAGAGGAATCACCGTTTCTTGGGAGCGTCATTTTTTTTGAATTCCTCAAACAGTGAACTCGCCTTTTCATTCCTTAATTTAACCATTCAATTTAAAGGTCATAGGTACAAATTGCATTAAGGCACAGATTTTAAGGCACAAAATTAAAGCACAAATTTTAAGGCACAAATTGCATCGTTACATTACAAAAGGAAAACCACCAAAGGATATTTCGGTTTTGTTAAATAATGATTACATATTTGATCATTTGATTAAATGAATTGCTGTTTTTGTGATTGCTAAAATTTATGCAAGTATTTTTATAAGCTAAAGATGAGAAGGCTTCTTTCTGGATGAAATCGAGATGGCATTTAAAGTCCTTTGCAGTTCTGTTATCAAATATCAGCGGTGGAGTATGGACGGGTTTATTGCATTCGCTCCTGCTGGAATTGATAATATGGCCTGTTACAGTGTCTCATCAAATGTTTTTTTTCACATTTCTAGCTTTCCAATAATCTATACCTTTTATACGATTTCCTAATTTTGGCTATTGATTTCCGCTATGTATGTATCTGCTATATTTAGCTTTAATCAATTCCTCGATATTTTCAGCTGCTTATTAATTCCCCTTCTACCGGTAATTTTCTCCCATGCTTTAATAAAATGCTAATTAAAAAAAGAAAATCGAAAGAGTTGCAAAAATTTTTCCTTCAACATAGAAATTATTAATTTTGAAATGATTCTTTTCACGATGTTTAGTCATATCTTATTTGAACGATTAAGATATCTGTTAAGGTCTACCAATGAAAATTTCCGCTTTAATGCCTCACACACACACACACACACACACACACACACACACACACACATACACATACACATACACACACAGACACATGTATACATACATACATACACAAACACCATCAAATTGAATTTGGTGTAAAAAAAGTGTTCGTATCTGCTGATGGTCAGCTTCTTCTTTCAAATTAACGATGAAGAGATTTGCCAACTTCTAATAGAATACTTCTTATAATAAATAATAGGATATTTAGAAGTAAAAAGAGAATTAATTTATCATTCGGATTGGGAGAGGATAAATTTCGGAAAATTCTCTGATTTTTAGCCTTTATTAGTACAAGTGACTTAAAGTTTCAAAAACATTTCAACCTTCTATTTAGCTCTTGATTGTTTCCCACTGATTTATTTTTGATTTTTTTCCTCCAAAAATGTGGAATAGTTTATGTGTCATTTGCTCTTTTATTTTACAGTTGTCTAAATTAAGTAAAAAAAGCAAGAACGTAGTAGAATAACTAAAACTGTAGAGCTTAATAAAAGATAATAAGCCCCACTATACAAAGTTACAATTTTCGAAATTTAACCCGAAGCTCTAATCACAATATTGGAACGATAGTAAGTTATTAAATAGTATTAAGATATGGCTGAAACATATTCTACAGAACTTTAAATTGAGTCAAGAAATGTTCTTGTATATTATGTAGCCAAGAAGAAATAATTTGAGCTCTGATTTAAACAGGAAATTTCTTTAGAAATATCATGTTCGGTTGTATTTGATGTCAGTGGCGTACATAATAGATGAGCTTAACTGGATGATCAGATAGTGCCAACTAGCAGTCTCGGAGAATAGATGAAGTTCAGGAGTGATCAGTACCGCAAGCATATTCTAATTTTCGTACGGTATCTTCATTATCTTCATTTACCCATAATATATTTTGTTGATCATTGTTGTTTGTAAAGTAGCAGGAATCTTTCGTTTTGTGATGTCAGTTGTCTATCCTTTTCCGGTAATTTTATCAAACTTCAGACAGTCGTGTAAATGGCGCAATCATAGCAAAATAGTTTGGTTGAAGTGATACGATGACTCTTATCGATCAATACCACTAATAAAATTTTGTTTCATTTAACTCTCAACTAAATAATCGATAAAGTATCTATAATGGGGATAAATACAAATTACATGGCCATAGCCATTGCTATATCTTTGCTATGGATATTCATTATGATGGTATATCTGGGATTATTAGATGAGCCGAGAGCACAAATCACTTCCTTACACCAGCGATATCATGCATCAGCTCATCCAACTTCCCATGGTCATTCTGAGCTGCTCATACTACCTGTAACTCTTAAAAATAATGATAACAATAATGATATGTCGAAAGAAATGCAGGAAGAGCAATTTTCATTAAATAAAATACCAGAAATTGATCTCGAGAAGTTGTCAGTCGTGCAGAATCAACAGGAACAGGTAATTTCATTGCATTTCTGTACGATTTGTTGATTGTTTCGTATTATTTCTCATAACCATGATGTGAGCTGGCAGAACTATTTCTCTTTGTTCCAATTTATATTATTTAGGCATCATACATCTTTTTTGTCTCATAGGTTTCTGGTTAATACTGGTACCATGTGAATGATATTAGCCAGCTTTTTGCTTACTCATAAGCTGGTTGAGTGGAATATTTCCTTGTATTTACTGATTTATGTTTTCGTTTTTTTCTTGATAGTGGTGAGTCTAAAATTTATTTATTATACATCAAAATTTCTAAGTATAGTTTGGGTAGATTTTGTACAATTTTCGCTAAACTTTTAGAAGCAACGTGAAATAAGTTACGCCAAATATGCGTTCAATGAGTTCTTGAGCAGCAGGATTGGACCACGACGAAAGATCCCAAATACACGCCATTATTTGTAAGTATTGATTTACTTGAAATTTGGTAAGTGAACAGGGGATGGGGAACTCTCATGGCTTTAGTGTCCATTTTGAGATGTTTGAATTGTTGTGACTATTTTGATTTATGACAAATTATCATAGACTGATGCTAGTTTTGTTATAGACATCGTTCTTCTAAGTTCTATCTCACTATTTTCATTTCATTTTATCAAAATAATGCTTGTTTTGTTAACGATGCTTGTTCATTTTGAAATCCATTTATTTAAGAAATTAAACTTTTGAGCACTTACCGCTTCAGATGTCTGAATGAAAGCTATTCAGAAGAATTACCAGCAACAAGTATTATTATCTGTTATTATAATGAAGCTTCATCAGCTCTGATTCGCATGGTTAATAGTATCTTGGATAGAACGCCATCAAACTTGGTTAACGAAATATTACTGGTGAATGACTGCAGTGATCTCGGTTCGTTTGGTCATATGAAATGGAAAATAGATCGTAATTTGCTGTACAGGAAATAATATTACATATATAATTAAAGATATCGAAATCATTTTTTAGATTTGGCCATATATACGTGATCTTATATGAACGTATATGAAATAAGGAATAAATTGCGAGTGAAGGCGTGGAGAGTAGTAATTGTAAGGATTTCATAGGGTTCTCTCACTAACCAGATTTATTAAGTAAATTTACTTTTTCTTATAGAAACTGTCTTTAGACAATGCATCTGATGCCGCAGTACGCTCATACGCTCGTGATAACTGGAACAGTGACGTGGTGAAAATGTTGAGTACGGAAAGAAATGAGGGATTGATTCGAGCAAAAATATTTGGAGCGCAACATGCTACAGGTGAGGTACTGGTGTTTCTGGATAGTCACTGCGAAGTGAATGAACGATGGCTCGAACCTTTGCTGGATCGAATCGTTGCTGATAGGCATACGTTAGTTTCAGAACTCATTCGGAACATATAGTCTGAGTGATTTTTGCTTTGTTATTATGGTACCATAAATTTAATATTGAAAATATTGTTTGGTTTATTTACTGTCTCCCTGCTAAATCCACTGAAACTGTCGCATTTCTTTATTTCATTTCATCGTAGTGACAGGAATGGAAAGGTCAACGAATTGAGCTTTGGCAGGCTTTCGTAAGAGATTGATGAACATTTGCCGAACCATTTCATTTAATCCTTCAGATCTTTGTTATCTGAAATGCAGTCATATATATTCAGCTACTTTGAAATTCCAAAACAATTATAATAGCTTTACGTTACTTTGTCATTCCCATAGAAGTAACGTAACGAGGTTTTGGATGGCATTGTAAAAATTTCAGAACTTCAAAAACTAAAGGTAAAAATTCCTTCTTAAACATTTTAGGGTTGTCTGTCCGATTATCGACGTCATTGATGCAGACACTTTGAAGTATATGGAATCGCCAATATGCAAAGGAGGCATGTCTTGGTCACTAGCATTTAAATGGGATTACTTTCCATCATCATATTTCGACGAACCTAAACAATATATACGCCCGTTGAAATCACCAACGATGGCTGGTGGTTTATTTGCTATTGACAAGAAATATTTCGATAGTCTTGGACAATATGATCGAGGAATGGAAATTTGGGGAGCAGAAAATGTAGAAATTTCTTTAAGGGTAAAGATTATGTTACAACGTCCACCAGAATATACGTTAAGTTGAATTTCATGATCTTCGTGAACCTATCTGAGTGTATAGGAATGTACATAAGACTTCCTGGAAGCGAGGGACTTTCATGATTAAGCACGCTATATAGTATCCATTTTGATTAATTTGAGAAATATTTTTGGAAGAACTAGCCGCTTACAGATTTGGATGTGTGGCGGCCGTTTAGAAATTATCCCGTGTAGTAGAGTTGGTCACATATTTCGTCAACGACGACCTTATGGACTTGGAGTTGATTCAATGGGACGAAACGCAGCTCGTGCTGCCAACGTTTGGCTCGATGAATATATTGTACATGTTTTGTTCCTTTTCTAACAAATTCAGGCTTTAACATTCGCAATACGATTTAGTATCGTTCATTTGTAGGTATAAATGATTTGTATGAATACACTGTAAATATTGATAAGGTATAATGTTTGCTTCTTTCTAAAGTAAAAAGCACGTTTCAATTATTTTTCATTATTAAACTTTTAGAAGTAACAAGATTACATATAAAGATGCTTTTAATCGGATAATTTTTATAGATACAAAATAAAGCACACTTTTGCATCACTATTAAATTTACGTCTTTTGAACTTGGTTCTTATTCTACCACTGTTTCTAAACAAATAAAAAAAATATTTATCGCATCTGCAAAATTAAAGGATGATTTTTCAGGAGCAGTTTTACGCAGCCAGGCCAAATCTGCGAGGGATCGATATAGGCGATATAAGGGAAATGAAAGCATTGCGTCAGAAACTACACTGCAAACCGTTTTCATGGTACCTTCAAAATATTTATCCAGAATTGCTTCCGAACAACCACTTAACAACAAACACTTCAAGTCAACTAACAATGGTCGACTTGAAGAAATCTGATATGTTGTGGAACAGAAATATTGCAAGATATCACGTGAGATTTAAGCATTGTCAAAGGTCAAAATTTCTTCCAAGAGTTGTAAGGGTGTCTTTGAGGAATGAGGATGAGGATAAAGTCAGATCAAGAAAAAAAAAAGAAAAAATTGATATCTTGGACAATTGCAATGAAAAATAATATTTATTGCTGCAGAGTAAGCTACAATTGAATATTAAGAAGTATCGGATTATCTGCAGGCTAGAAATTCAAGCAGGATTTTTGGAATTTGCAGAAATCGGCAATTGCAGGACTATTACCAATTCGTTAACTATCTTCTAGGATACGTTGAGATTTCTACAAGTTCCAAGTCGAAATTTATTTTGCAGATAGCCTTATATAACACAAGCTTATGCTTGACAGCTCAGTCAACGAATAGACGTTTGGTGAGAGGGAATAGGATCATTGTAGAATATTGCAACAAAGGAGATCGTCATCAAAGTTGGCACTGGACAAGACTTGGCGAACTTCGCCCCATGGGTTCGGCAACACTTTGTCTCGATTCAATGAAGGTGGTTGAACAATATTTAATTTTTTATTGCTTTATTGAGTAGTCTTTCTCCCAGATGCTTAAATCCTAAAACTATTCTTTCTGTATTCCGCTTCCCGATAAAAAGCACGTGGATCTGAATGGTACATGATGATCTTCTGTCTGACTAACCATTTGTTAGTAGGATTTATTACACTAGTGATATAAATTGGCAAAACATAAAGATACCGAACTGTTGAGAGCTCTTTCAATAATTACCTTTTTTCTAGGGGCCGCGTATTCTAAAGTGCCACCTACAAGGCGCTCACCAAGAATGGTCGCTAATGGTAAGCAGTAGTTTAGAATCAACTTTACTCTTTTGCGAGGAGCTTCTATTAAAGAAATTTCCAGAATTGACATCTGCAAAACATTTAGATTCAGAAAGAATGTTATAAACGTTTCAGGATCATAAAATCTACAATGCAGCCGTCGGTCAATGCTTACATGTCGAAAAGGAGTTGTCGAGTATAGCTAAAAATCGTTTTTGCTCTGTTGCAAGCAAGTGGGAATTTCGGATCGACACTCACACTAGGTGAATCAAATCGTACTTTCTTTACTTGTGTACCAATTATGCTTGAAGATCTTCGATATGCTGGCACCAGTATTCGTTTGAGATTGGAACTGGCTATTACAACTAACTCATTCTACATCTTTGTTTAAATATCATTTTGTGAAAAGTTATCTATGCAAACGTCATTTCATAGGTGAACACAAAATCTTATAAACAGAAACTCTTTTTAGAATTTTCCTTCACATCATTCTAATGATATTGGAAAACAAAACACGACTTCGAGTTTTTGCTGACAAATTATGATTAAACGCAGTGAAAAACATACCCTCAACGAAAAAAAATGACAAATTCATGAGAAGCACTAGACTCAAGCAATAATAAATGATTATCGAAAACAACAAATACTACATGCATACGCTTTTTACACTTTGGTACATGATGAAAAAGCAGTTTCATTTCTGCTTTCTTTCCAGTATAAAACAATTGTATATTTTATTTACATTGCGTTGAAAATAAAGATGAAGGTGAAACTACTTGTTTTTTTTCTCAATATATATAGAATCAGTTGTATTATTGATTTTAACTGAAATTCACAATATGCATCTTATTATTTTTAGAACGTTGGAAGTACTCATGCCCAATTAGGGATGAAACATATATTTCAAACTAAAATTTCTAAACTGATGTACAATGCTTTACATGTCAATATAAGTTTGAACAAATTTTTTCTCTCTAGAATGATAATAAGATAATGTTGTTGTTTTTCAGGAATTTATAGTGGAAATTTGTGTAATGTGACGACACTGTGCACATATGATAAAAAAAACTATCATTTTTTTGTAGATATTGCAGTGCCAGCATGTTCAACCACATGTTCTAAAAATGTACAATAGCTATCGAAGGGTATCGGGATCAAATCTTTCATCGACCAGAAATAAACTTGCTTTGTTTTAGCTGGAACTGTCGAATAATCAATATTCCCTCTTTGTGCACCGATTCGAAACATATACGGTTTGAAAAGCACATTTTTGAAAGATAATTGATATCGATCGCTATCAAATTTCAGGAATTTAGCAACTTCATCTGCCTGTTCCCCTACCAATTTCTGTGCACAATCATCAAATGCAGTCACATGGACAGTTCCGGTAAAATCGAATAATTCCATCTGAAAATAGAATCTTGGTAGCTTTTGGATAAAAGATTTTGATAATTTAAAGTTCAAGAATGAGCGAAAGAAACGAATTTCTGTTCTCTCCTAACTTCTGAAAATTTTGAAGCAACTTATTAACATAAGGAGTTGAAAAACATTCCGATCCCGACTGTATGCATAAAAACTATGTGTAGCCATCAAATCCGAGTAATAAATTGATAGTCACGACTTAAAAAGATGATGGTAGCAACGGTTTTTGTAAATAGTGAGTATCTGCTGGAAATTTTAAGATACTGACTTATCTCCAAGCGAAATCACATCTAAATCTTTCGTTTTAGTTCGGTATAGTACTTACATGTAAAGTGTAGTAATATTTATATTCGTTGCAAATACCGCATTTTGGACATATATAGAGATCACCATTCTTCTCGACCAATAACTTTTTCTTACAAATTAGGCAACCCTGAAGAGTTTTGCAGTCTTAAACTGCATTTCTCAAACAAAAGGTGTCATCTCTGTATTAAAAAAAAAGCTTGGACATTTTAAACCTTTTTAGTTGAAGAAGATTAATCAGTTTCTAAAAAAAAGCACCTTGTACACAGCATTTTCTGTAAAAATAGAAGAAATCATTGCAGTTAAGTTGAAAAAGTGACCATTTAGCGAGGGTTTTAGCTGCTTGATCCATCTATGCTGTTGAACTAAAAAAAGTCAAATATCTCAGAAAATAGTCACAGGGACAGTTTCCCACTTCATTACATTCAAATTGTTAAGATTTAATATAAGGATTGACAAATAAGATTTGAGTATATAAAAAATAGATAGGGGGTGCTTCAAAATGACCCACTATTTGAAAGTTTCTGCTATAAAACTACCTCCGAACTTACATGATGAAACCTGATTCATTGATACAGGTTTAAAAGTCTTGTCCTTGTTTTCACTGTACCAAAACTGAAGTGCATTGGCTTCCGGAAAATGTGGATTGTGTACCAATTTACTAGAAGTCATTGAAACTAAAGATATTGTTCCTGAAATCTCGAAATGAGCAATTTAGAGAAAGTCGTCTTCCATGCAATTTTAATTTCATTGCTAATGAAATTTGCCAAATTCGAAACAAAATTTGTCCAATTCAGTGATCTGCAGCCAGTAATTTAAGTTAAAAAAAATAACCTTGAAAATTACGCACGAGCAACCCTTTGGCGGCTAATATATGTTGGTATTGTTCGTTCGGAAATATTTTTGCTTTTTGTCCCCAAAGACTTATAGTAACATAGTAACTACTATCGTCAACGATCTGTATATCCCGTTTTTGCAGCTCATCGCCAGTTTTTGATTTCAGTTGCTTCATTTCACCAATACCTATTACGGTTCCCAACACATCTTCAATTACAGTACTTACTCCTTTTGTCTATATGAAAAAGGATTTCCAAACAAATTTCGCATGCATCAAAATCTTGTATATTTTGTCAATTAATTTCACAAAACTACGTCGCTGATTAGATCTTGTTAGTTGAACTGAGACATAATAGAATGATATCAAGTGGAAGAATTTGCCTAATAATAAAGCTAACACAGCAATTAACCGCTACAAACCTATTTCTGTATCGATAAAACTTGGCAAATTGTGAATGCGCACAAACTCAAAGTTTACTTTCGGCGACAAAATGTGAGGTCGATCCATGCATTTTGTGACCTAAAAATATTCAGTGTGTTAGCAAACTTAAATATTAGAAAAACAAAGCTTGGCATTCTGTTATTCTAAACGGCACAAAAGATGAGGGTAACAATATTCAAATTTTACATTAAAAAAATTTACATTAAATGCCAAAATTGCATAAGATGACCTCACTATCTGGTCGAAGTACAACTTCCATATCGTGCTGATTACGGCTATATCTCCTGCATACCATTTTTACCGATGCGCGCGTAATATAATACATCTTAAATATTACTTATAATTATCATTTCAGGAGAATCTAAATATGCACAGTTTATAATTGTTGTAAATCTACTTGTTCCGGGAAAATCAGAGTAGCAGTTCTGTATGCTGTGTCACCAAAAGCAGAAACACGAATTTCGACACCACCGTCATCCACTGCTAGAAATGAGAATATATGTTGACCTCGAATACATCTTATCTGAAAATAAAGACCACGTAAAATATGAAACTTCATTCTAAAAAAAAAAAATTAAGTAGAGCGGCAATTGATTAACGAAATATTTGCCTCGTCAACAGAAGTAACTTTGATGCATAACCGCCAGTTCTTGCAATACGGTGTCAATAATTTGATCGGAGTAACATTTGCAACTTTATCACAGACAGAATCTAAAACATAGTTTTCTAAAACGAATCAAAAACAAAAGCTCCATTATCATTTATGAGCTTGAATTCACCTGACTTGCATTAGCAATAGTCCTCTATTAAAATGATTTAATTTTAAGAGGCTGGAAAAAAAGCTTTTCAGTATAGCAAGCACTAAAATGAGATATCGTTTCTATATTACGGATATTCTGACAATATTTGCAAAGCTTCTAAGACTTTATTATCATCGTTATATAAAGATTCTCAGCATTTACTTTTTGGTTTTGTTGGAGTTGATTGCTCGGGTGGTGTTGCAATTTCTTTGATTGGAGAATTGAAACTACTGCTATAACTAACTGAAAAAGTCCAAAAAATATAAAACATTGACAAGTTTTAAAACAAGATTGAATATGTTAAAACTAATGAATTGTAAATAATTGCTTTCTTAAAAAATCCATCCAGAAGTTTTAAAGCAGTTGGGAAATTTATTTTTCGGTAGATATGGGTACCAGAATCACGAAGTCATATGTACAATGTTTAGCAAAATGAGCGATAGATTAGCTAACATATTTCCAACCGTTGTCAAGACGTGGACTCTTGATCATAGGAGACTTGAATGTTGATGAGATCCGCTTAGAATTTCGTCGCGTTGCGTTCACGGGAGAAGTAAGCAGCTCAGAATCACTGAAATTGTTAAAGTCATTGACAACTCATACATCAATTTAAGTGAAAACTATGAAAAATATGCACTATTGCTTAATAAATAATGTACCTGCTTTAATTTCCTATACGGATACTATAAATTGGTGTTGTTAATTTTCCTATTATATCGCATAAGTCGAACAGGACTCTAAATATTAGAATGTACAGCAATAATGCCAGTCGTTATATCATCCTAATATCTCTAAACTACTGTATCTCTAAACTAATCTACAAATATTAATGCTTTCTTACCCATTTTCCACGATACTACAATAAGCATTGTCAGTGTTTTCAGCAGTGGATTGAATTAAACTGTTATTTTCATAGTTGTCGAGAAGTTCGAAGAATTGACGTGCTTTCTGAAGTGCCTTCTCGCTTACCGTTATGCCTTTTCCCGAAGCCGTTACAAATCCGACACTCATTTCAAACCGATTATAGATGATATGTACCTTTCAGGAAGACCAACAATACTGTAATCTGTACATACAAGAAGTACAACATTTAAGACAGAGACTCACATACATATACGCGCTAGCAGTTTCCTGATCTGTTCTTTACGTAACCCATCGCTACCGCGATCTGTTTTCCTCCGGGTGAACCACAATTTTTTTCATTCACTTGATAAAAACATTACTAAGTCAGAGAGAATTTGGGCAGTGAGGTTGACATTAGATATTACAGAAATGGTAGAGAGGCAGACTAAGATTGTCTCGTAATCATGGATGCTTACTTCTTATTGCATCTGGGAGGATAGTGAGTCGGTGGTTGATTAATTGGTCAATCAAGCAGGTTAATTGATCTTTAGCTGAGTCAGTTAAGTAACTGAAAGCATTCCTATGGAATTAAACAATGCAATTCAGTTTAATTTCTCTTTATTCTAGTTCGTTATCTTAATTCCACTCATTCCCGAGTTTTTGTTTTGATAGAAAGAATGCGTAGTTTTGTTGCGTTAATTACTTTCTTTTTCTTCTATCTTTAACAAAAAATGTATTTGTGATATATGACAGGAAAGGAAGCGCATGATTTCTTTGTTGCAATACGCTTACTGAGAAGACGCTGAAGTTTGAGACGTTTGTTTAGCACTGTAGTCATCTTTTCCCATGGAGGAAATGAAGAAATCCGCGTCATCATCATCATCTAGCGCTTCCGGTGATAACACCACGACAATTATTGTTTTGGGAATGGCGGGATCTGGCAAGAGTGCTTTTGTCCAGGTTTCTCTTCTATTTCGTAATTCTTCACCCACTGTTTTGCTACTTCGAAGATTTTTGCGCGTCAAACTGTTCTATTAAATTTGTGAGCTGTGGTTTTATGTCCTCTGATTTTTAAGTACATAAATATCCTTTTATGAAATATGTCGATTTTTCAATCACTTAAGCGTGTAGCAGCGCGATTACGTCAACAAAATATTGCACCATATTTGGTGAATCTGGATCCGGCTGTTGCGACAGTTCCATATGCTGCAAACATTGATATTCGGGATACAGTGAAATACAAGCAAGTGATGGAAGAATATCACTTAGGTCCAAATGGTGCCATATTAACTTGCCTAAATCTTATATGCACTAAATTTAATCAGGTTTGTTTTTATCTTTTCAAAATGTAACAATTGCTGCTTATCTTCATTCTCGGTGGTTTATTTTTAGTAGTATGGGCTGAATGATTTTTGAAGATAAAAATTTTTGGGCAAGGAAATGAGATCGTTTAATATCGTAGTTGAAGTGTGTACTCCTGTATTCGATACCAGTTTATTTAGCCCTCCAGGAATTCAGCTGATTGATCACATTGAGGCAGTTTGCGGCTGTAGGATACTGTCTAAACACTGCTTATCTCAATATTCACAATTATAATTCCAGTCTAAGTGACTTTTTGCTCACAGTCAAAAATGCTAAAAGTTAAATGTGTTTCAGATAGTTGATTTCATAAAATCTCGATCAGGACAATGTCCTTATTGCTTGTTGGATACTCCTGGTCAGATCGAAGCTTTCACGTGGTCGGCTTCCGGATCGATTATTACCGACTCGTTAGCTTCTTCATTTCCGACAATGATAGCATTTATCATTGATTCTGTACGCGTTGCAAATTCAACAACGTTCATGTCAAACATGCTTTATGCATGCTCAATTCTGTATCGTACAAAGCTACCATTCATCGTCGTTTTCAATAAGGTTATTTCATCATGCTTTCTTTTGATGAAGTTATTACCATCACTTTTCTGCTCTCCTGGCTTACCAATTTTTTTGAGGGCATTATGATGGGGCGTAATTTATAATGGCAAAAATGCTATGAGAATGATTATAAGTTGAATTGACTAATGCGGTATTTCTGTATTCTTTGTTTGTTTAATCTTTTTATTATGTAATTGAACAACAGATAAGTCAGCAGTTCCATTCTGGAAGTACTGCGCTCCGATCATTGCCACAAGGATTATACATCTGATATACAAAAGTTGCAGGCAGATATAATAAAGCCAATATTTGCAACCAAGTGGATGAATGATTTCGAAAGTTTTCAAGAAGCGTTGGATCAAAATTCCACTTCATATATGAACGATTTAACCAGATCTTTAAGTCTTGTACTTGATCAGTTCTACCAAAATCTGGCTACTGTCTCAGGTTGTTAAGGTTCTCAAATGTGCAGAAAATTTGAGATATTAAGTTTAGCTTATTCTTTCAGACGAAACTCAATAATAAAAACGTGCACTAGTTTATTTAGTAAACATTTCTTATCTTTCACAAAGTGGTTAATATAACGAACATCTCGATACTCTGAAAGACCTTTTTCAAACTAAAAAAGAATGCAAAACTCTTTCGAGAAAATTTTTGGAAAACAAATTTTATTGTTGATTCCTAGTTTGAAAGTAGTTTTTTGTATTATTTCAGTTTCTTCGTTAACTGGTGAAGGAATTGATGACTTTTTGAAGTTAGCGCAAAACTGTATCAAGCAATATTTCGAAATCTATCGTCCAATGTATGACCAGTTATTAAAAGAAAAGGTATAATCTTCCCTTTATTTTAGCTAAAGATAAAGCTTGGGTTTTTTGTCAGGATCGTTATCCATCTTAGCAATTTAAGTTCTTTGGAATTGTTTCAAATATTGCAAGTTTGCAAAAATGTTAAATCGAGTTTTTTTTGCTTTTATTTATTGATTTAATGCGACGGAAGTTAATTCTAAGTTAATTTGCATGAGACCCTTATATTATCACTGTTCAGTTTATTCTCTGCTAAAAATGTGTGTGAAATGAAAGTCCCCATCGCTAATGTTGACTATAAGTTTAGCTGATAACCTTGTTTGTCAAGATATTTGTTGTATTGCGAAGCAGATTTATTGTTATGATTAATAGTACTATCCAATAGTTTCGGTAATGCGATAATGTCTGCATCCTACATTTTTTAATAACTTTATTGCATTTTGAAGAAAATGAGTTTATTTCAGGCTGATTCATTAGCGAAGGAAACAGCAGAAAGTTTAGAAAAGTTGCGCACCATGGAAAAAAAAGTCGAGTTAGCACCTGTTTTGGAAACAGCCCCAAAAATTAAGAAAATACATTTAGGAGGGGTGGATCAAGAAAATTCAGAAGATGCTATGTTACCGCGATAATGCTGCCCACACAGAATTTGTGGTGAGTCATTCAATCCTCTTGTTCTATGAATAGAAAAAGCGGTTGAATATTTTATTGCTTCATCATTTCATTAATAATTTGCGTCTAGGAAGTGTCACTCTGTAGTGAACATCAACTGAAAAAACCTGTGCATTGAGTGTTCTGAATATATTTCTCATTTCACGCTTAAAGGTGTTGGATATTAGACACGGAAAAAATTTATTTGTAACATACTGGCCTTTTTGGTACTCCTTGGTGTTTCAAAGGAGTTACCGTAAGCAGAAAGCATATGTTCATAACTAAGTAGACATTTACAAATATTTGAATGTTTACGTTTGTTTGTTCATAGAAATGCTTTTATTGTTACTGATGTGGGCAGCACTAATGACCTAGATCATGTGGAAGCCCATACTGTTCTAATTTTTCAAATATTTTGCATTAATTCATTTTGTTACATGTTATATTCAATAGTATAAAAACTTGTTATGTTGGTTTTTTTGTTTTTTTGGTCATGGAACAGATTTCCGTTTCTGTTTTTAAAGTGATACTTTCACCGATGAAAGAAACTGGATTTCGAAAAAAATTTGCTAGCTGGAGATCTGTACTTGTTACGGATTCCGAAATGTTTGTAGTATAAGTAGTTGGAATAGAATGATACAAGATCGAGATTTGTATTGTTAAAGCCAGGTTGTGGAGTACAGGGAATCAATCTCTTAACATAGATTTAATGCTTGACTGGAAGTATACTGGTTGCTTCAAGATAAGTTTTTAGGTATTTTTCTTTTGAGAGGGAGGAAAAGACGCATATAAAATTGTAAGGATGTACATCTCCGTGTTTTCCTATTCATTTCACATTGTCCCTTTTTGAAAATATTCGAATATTTTCATATAGTTTATAATTTCCCGATTCAAAAAGCCTCCCAGAATCCCTGATATAAATTACACAAAGTAAGTATATTTCGAGGCAGAATTTTGAACTCCATTTACTGGATTGAGCGATATGATGATTATCATGATGATAACAATGGTAATTGAAATATCGTTAGCTCTAGTAGTTGATTTGTTGGGATTGTGCGTGAGCCTCTTATATTATCACTGTTCAGTTTATTCTCTGCTAGAAATATGTGTGAAGTGAAAGTCTCCAACGCTAATGTTGACTGCAAGTTTAGCTGATGACCTTGTTTGTCAAGATATTTGTATTGCGAAGCAGATTTACTGTTATGATTAATAGTACTATCCAATAGTTCTGCAATGTTATGTCATATGCTAATCTTATTTATAAAGTTGCCGCATGATACTAATTGTTAAGTCATTCTGTGTGAATAATAGTTTGTTATCCTAGTTTGTCATGTTTTGTTAGAATTAGAACTAGTATATTCCTTCAGAATTTTAAGAACTTTTTAGGAATTCAGTTATTCGCTTCAGCGTTACTTGCTGTCGTAGTTAAAGCTGACATACATTGTCGTAAAAGCACAATATTGGAAAAATCCTTTGCATGAGATTTTTTCATAGAAAAAAGAAATTATTCTGATCTGGAAGCATGTACTTTATGTTTCCTATATTTTATCTATCAATTATATTGGTAATATCGTTTGCTATGCAGTTGTTTTTTAACACTTAAACAATATTAGGAAGGAATTTGATTTATTTTGAGATTGCCATACATGCTTCGCGCGAAAAGTCAGAGACGTTCGAAATGAAAACATTGCAAGGCCGGCTTGGTGATTTATAAAATTCTTGTAGCTCTAGTAAAATCAGTTCATCGAATGGTATCAGCAGATTTGAATCATTGAAGCGCGCATCATTTCAGCTGTACACTCGTAATGTAGATTTTCTCAAGTGAATTTTACCAGTCCCAAGTTGTGTTTATAGCATTTGCATGAAAGATTTGCTGAATGTGAACTTTTCATATTTCACTGATTCAAAAAAGAATCAAATTGCTCAGATATTATTCAACATAAAATAACTATTGTTAACATATGGCCTCTGATCTCATGCTGATATTCTCATCATGTAATTATTTAATTAATATATTCAGTTTGATTTGTTTTAACCAAAGCAAACTAGTGCTTGACTATTTCTAAAAAACTGTTTGAAATAAGGTGGGAAGGAACAGGGCTTTTCATTTCATCTTAAAATGATTGATGCATGAAGAATGCGTATTTTTTCCATGAAAAACATCAACAAATAATACGAGTTATCATATATTCTCTTGTCAATGATGTATATATACTTATATGAATCTAATATAATTTTGAATAGTGAAATTATCTGTGAATTTTGAATAGTGAAATTATCATTTTATGTTTTAATCATCTGTCGTATCTTTAATAAGAGGCTTAAAATCACATATTTCTTTTTTCCATTTTCTGAGTCTTCTTAGCTAACGATATGATACTTTCTCATTTATTTGCATATTATACTTCATCCTTTATATATCATTCGCTTTGTGTTATTGGCCTTTTCTGTTACATCCTAGTTTTGGATTTTCTTTGGTTAAATACAAAAGTTATTTAGTGTTCTAAGTTGGTGTGTGAAGGAAAAAAATGAACTCTCGAATGTGAGCAGTCGATTAACTTGTATTACTGGAATCAAAAAGGGTTTTCTCCATGAAAATCCATCTCGCAGCTAACAAAAAATATGAGAATGTTTGTTTTTATTAATTCGAATCACAATATTGTGATTTCTTTGCATATTGCAGAGAAAAAAAAATCAGAATCAGAGTGATCGTTTTTTGCAGATCAAATTTATCGATTTACTGAAGACAGCCATCGATATGGACGCACATATATTTCATCAGTCCGTACCTATCAAAAAATTTAAAAGTTCAGCACATGAAACAGTATCAGAGAATACTTCATATTTCATGTTAGCTCATTTTTTTTATTCTTCATTAATGAGTTTTGGTGTAAACAATGCTATCAAGAACAATTTTCTGACTTACTTAATCTGTTTCGTAATTCAATATCCCTGTTTGTTCCTCTGCATATTAAAATGTTGGAGAAGGCTAAGCAACTCATACTGTATAATTCTATATAATTCTTCAAGTCGTTATTTATGTGAAGGGAAAGTTAGGACATTTTCACTGAAAAAGTAGAACATGTAAAGGAATCCTTTTATCACAAATACCACAGCAGCTAAAATGAAAAAAATCAGATTTTATATGAAGTTAACAGATACTAGCTAAGAACATGCACTATTCTCAGTATTTATGAAAAGAAAAGAAAATTGGGTTGTGGAAAAAGAGATCTTTATTAGTATAATACAAGTTCTTTGCAATATACCTACTTGCGCAGGAGAAAATGTTCTTTCTGTTCTTTCTCCTCTTTGTATATTCAAGTATAAACGATCTGAAGTCTCCCATAGCAACATTTCACTATGCTCACATCTCTGAAATTTTAATTTTAGCATAAGCGCCATATTTTGATGGCATATGGAGGGAATAAACTACTGTTCTCATATCTCATCAGTCAAATCTGATTGGTTTTACTTTCGAACGTACCTCTATAATGGTGCTAACTGTCTCAATCTGAGAAGATTTTTTCATCATTCTTGTCAATATTGACATTTTTATACATTTTTCAATTATTCAGATTTCTTGTAGTTTTCTTCATGGAAAGCATTTGAAACATTGTTTTTCTTTTTTATCATTATATAATTGTATGGTTGGTAAATATAAATTTGCTATGAAGTAGTGTCACTCCATTTTTCTGTAAGATTACTTGCACTCTCTAAAGCGGTGCTAGAATTTTTCTGTAACAACGATAAGGCACACAGCAGAAAGTCTTTAAGGGTTTAAATTCTTAAACATAGAACTGTTGTTGCAAATTCAAATTTGAAATTTTTTTGAAAGTTGCTTCCATCCTTTATTGGTCTCAAACAAATCTTTTGCCAGATAGTCGCCTTTTTCCTTCAACTTACTAAGGAAACTTATGACTTTATAAATTCGATCACTTTCATTTTTGAATCTCTATCATGCGTATTTTTCAACGATCTAAGGTCAAAAATTCATGTTTTTCGATTTCTCAAATAATTAATAGCGGAAAAAATTCATAGCTTCAGGCATCATCACTGTTGAGAATCAAGAGAATGGTATTGCTTTCAAGTGAAGATGGTAACAACTTCTGAAAGAAGATCACAGAGTATAAGAACCGCCTCTAAATGTCCTAATGAGTTTCTGATGGTAACTCATCCGATCTGTCATGTTTCTAGTAACGAGCAAAAATTTCAACAGACGTACTGTCGTCAAGCTTGCTTTATTTTATTTTATTGAGAAGCTACTGAAGGGTTTAATAATGTAAAGTTTTTTAAGTTTGGAAAAGTGTAAAGTTGTGAAATATTATCAAAAATCTGTTGGAAGCACTACACTTGAATCTTTTCTATCCTTTATTGAGTATTTTCTATTCCTGTGTACGGAATCGAATTTCGTTTTTCATTTGACTTTTTATAAGTGGAAGCAGGACTTTTTATTTTTGTAACTCAGTTTGACTTACTTTCATTTAAATAATATTTCTTCAGACTCTGCAGACTCTTTTAGATAGTAAGTTTAAATCTCTAAAAGCAGCTGATTCTTTTTGCTACTCATTTGTTACGTGATATGAAAAATATATGCATATGTGCTCTATTCCAGATCATTTTAAAAATATGATATATAAAGTTGCACATTTATAAAATATGTCTGTTTGAGGAGACATGCATATGAAAAAGAAAAACGGTATTTCAGGATGAATTTTTCGGTGGAAAGTGGAATTAATAGTAATACGACTGACAGTGCAGATGGTTCTTACTCCTTAGCATCCAGTTATCCATTGCTCGATTTTTACATTGGTCTCGGCTTGGCCATTTCATCATCCATATTTATTGGTAGTTCATTTATTATCAAGAAAAAAGCACTTATCAAGCTTGCGCAAATTGATTGCATCCATCGTGCCTCCGAAGGCGGTTTCGGTTATCTACGTGAATGGTTGTGGTGGTTTGGCGTATTGACTAGTAAGTTTTTTTCTACTGAAATAGAAACAGTGAAAATAAAATGATGCTAGACTTCTGGTTGATATCTCCTTTCCAAATAAGGCGAAGGCATGAAATGTTAATCAGAAAGCAGTTAAAATCTGAATAGCTTGTCAGGCATAATAAAAGATTTTTTATTTTTATTTCATTCGTGAAGGAAAATCATTTAGCCTGTCTAAATCAGCTGATCGATGACATTATTTATACATAGGTAAAGTTTCAACTTGTATAAGAAGTAATTCATATATATTATTTATTCAAAATCTTTTTTTACAGTGGGCACTGGTGAGGCGTGTAATTTTGCAGCATATGCTTTTGCACCAGCAAGTTTAGTAACACCACTTGGTGTACTGAGTGTTATTGTGACGTAAGTTTGCATTCAGTATCCAAAATAATTTTTTCTTTTATTTTTGAATGAAATCAAAATATCAATACTGCTCCATCATGCAATGATTGTTTTCTATTAGTCCATAGTTACGCACAGTACTCGAGGAACATCGATTTATGAATCAAAATAGCATCATGTTGCCAACTGTTTAAACCATTACTAGTCACTTATTCATTGGATTATAAAATCAGACATGTAATCATCACTACGATGTAAAGTGGGAGAGATATAATCAAACTTTAGGCTAGCTTGTCGATCCAGAAGTTTTAAATTGAGAATGCATTATCAAATGATGGTTAGATTGACTCTTTTCGACCAAAATACTGGCAACCGAAACGATGAACAGAATGAAAGGAATGGGTTGAAGGTTGAGGCGTTAGCGGTTTTAGGACTTACGTGTTATGGTTATGTCCAGTTCGAATTTTGTCACAACCGTTAGACGTGCCGCAATGAGTTTTCGGGTTTAAAAATAACTTTTTTAGATAATTAAAGCTGAGAAGAGATTAAAATCTCATATGGGGAAAGTAGATTGCGATCGGTTTTTATATAATTAAAGCAATGACCATCATTGATTCATCTGGTGATTGAACTTATTTTTATAATGTATGTAATGTTTCAGAGCAGTACTGTCATCGAAATTGCTCAAAGAACGTTTAAATTTTCTGGGTAAAATCGGTTGTGCAGTATGTCTTCTTGGTTCAACAGTAATTGTTTTACATTCACCGAAGGAAGAAGAGGTTTCTAATATGGCTGATTTAGCTCTCAAAATGAGAGATGCAGGTAAAGAAATTTATATAATGAGTGCTAAAGAGTTGTTGACTTTTGGATGAATTTTCTGGACATTGTGAAGTACTTTTTTAAGAACCATTCTGCAGAGCAGCAGATGAATTATTTTGGCACATAGATATCATTCGCCAGTACTCATTATCCAACTATCCTCTTTCAATATAGAGAAAGAAATTTTTCAAGTGCTTTAGAACGTAAAGCAATTGAAAAATTGCCTTCGTAGTATAGAAGCGAGATTCAGTACCTCATACTAATCCTTTTCCATCAAATGCCATCGATGTTTGTATTAAAAGTAATAGTCGATAAATGATATAGAATGGTGTTTTCTCAGGTTCTTCACATTTTACAGGAAATCCATTGTTTCATTTTAATGATGATATCATTTGCTGAATTTGTTTAGAAAACTACTGCGTTAAAATATTAATTCAAACTGAGCTGGAATATCTGAAAGAAAATCTTTTTATGTTAGCAATATGAGTTGTTAAGAAATAAGGTAGTTTTCAGTCGAATCATCTTTTTGTCTTCTTTCATTGATTTATTCTAGCTATCATTTACAGTTGGTTCCATTTATCCGATATTAATTCCAGTTAATAACGAGTCTATGATCTGTAACATGTCCAATTTCTGAATACAATATTGGAAATAGGGAGTTTTGAATAACAAGCGGATCCTTCAGAATACATTTTTCAGGTTTCATTTTCTATGTGGTAGCAGTGATTTTGGTATCATTAATAATGATTATTTATGTCGCACCACGTTTCGGCCGTTCTAACATTTTGGTGTATATTTTTATTTGCTCTATTATTGGCTCACTTTCTGTGTTATCTGTCAAAGGACTTGGTTTAGCCATTAAAGAAACANATATTGGAAATAGGGAGTTTTGAATAACAAGCGGATCCTTCAGAATACATTTTTCAGGTTTCATTTTCTATGTGGTAGCAGTGATTTTGGTATCATTAATAATGATTATTTATGTCGCACCACGTTTCGGCCGTTCTAACATTTTGGTGTATATTTTTATTTGCTCTATTATTGGCTCACTTTCTGTGTTATCTGTCAAAGGACTTGGTTTAGCCATTAAAGAAACAATTGGTGGAAAGCAACAGTTCACGAATTTTCTTACGTGGTTTTGGTTTGTTGCTGTAATTCTTTGCATTTCCGTACAACTGGTTGGTTTTTCCTTATTTTTATTTTTATAAATTAATAGAATGAAATATGGGGAGATCTATGCGACTTGGATCAAAAGAATATTTCCAAATTATTACAATGCGATTATAAATACAAAAATATTCAAATTCGGCATTTTTGCTTCTCCTAGATTTCAGAAAAACATAGCGAAGTTCGGTTTTTAAAAATTTTTCCTTGAGTTTATAATTGCATTGTAATGAGAATTGAAGAAAATTTATGCCCGAGAAAAAAAAAAGGTTTTGAAACAAAAAGGTAGAAAGGTAGAAAAAAAGGTAGAAAGAAAGGTTTTGGTTAGGTGTTGAGTAGATTCATCACCAAGTTATATAAAAGTAGTTGGTTTAGGTCTTTTAAATTTATTATTTGTTTGAGCAGTAGTTGGAAAGCCCGAGCAGAGGATGATGCGGAAGAAGTAATTTAAAGAAAAAATGTTATCTGTGTAGCTGAGTACTAAGACTCTATGAATATCTGCTCGGGAAGATGGCCGTATTATCGACCGAACACGAGAAAGTAAAAGTTTAGAAGGAATCGTTATAATTTTTTTTGAGATATATTTGAATAAATCCTTGGATATGTACAACACATCGATGGTAACACCTATATACTACGTGTTCTTCACAACATTTGTAATACTGGCTTCATCGATTTTATACAAGGAATGGTCTCGCTTGGGTGCAAGCGATGTTTTAGGCAATGTTGTCGGCTTCCTAATCACTATTATTGGCATTTTCCAGGTGAAAGTTACAAGGATGTGACTGATTTTCCTAATTTCGATTCAAATTTTAGTTATCTCAAGGAAATTCTTACGTGGAAAATTAATCTAAAACGATAAGTGAAATTTTTTTAATAGACAGATGCAGTTATTTTTTAATGGACAGATGCAGTTAACAGATGCAGTTTTAACTGTTTACAGATGCAGTTATTCCGTGATGTAAATATAACGCTGCGACATTTGAGAATGCTTATCCATAAATCTTCGACAAACATAAATTCATTTGAAACAATGAGCAGTGCTACATCGTTGGTCGATGATTTGCCAAGCGATACTGCGAACCCTCAACAAATTTACACTTAGTACAGCGATAAGCATTTTATTTTTTGTAGTATAATTTTAGTGTAGCGTTAGTATGAACTAGAAAGTATAGATTTGAGAGATGTCATTATAGGTTTCCAAAGACTTATTTCTCCGTATTAATTATTATGATGTCACAAAGCATTTTGAAGAATTCTTTTCATCAATTTTTAGTGATTATCGTTTAAGGAAAACAGGATCCTTGTGGCATTCTTGATCTTGTTTACTAAAATTGTTTAAAAATCAGCAGATCTGCAAATTGTAGGCTTATTTTGCTTACTGAATAGTTGAAATGACATATGTTTCCTTTGCCAGCTCTGCAATAGGAAAACATCGATGTTATCAAAATCTTTTATCCTTTGGAAAATTTGAATTTCCACTTTAGTCTGTGTTGCAAAGATTTTTAAATGAGAATAAAAGTTTAGAAGGGCTGCATAGATGCTTTACTTAGAGAGACTATTTAGATGCATTATGTTGAAAAAAGAAGGTTTGCTAAAGAAATGTAGGAATGGAAGAGCAGAATCATTTCTATGATTTTGATGTAATCAATAAAAATAATGGTACTCCAAAAAAATTAGAGATTGTAGAAATTTTGTATTGCCGCGTTTGAAGTCGAGCAATGCATTTCATTGAGATATGAGAATCCTATTTTAATTGTATTCTGCCTCAAGTCATTTATTTCACGTAGCATGAGGATTTGGCAAAAGATTCTGCTTTTGCAAAACAAGCTTTTTTTCAAATTATTGGTCATAACTGCATATTCTCCATTTATGGGAACTTTTTTTTGATTATTTTTCGTAGCTGTTTTTTTTTTATCAAAACTCTATTTAATTGACTCAGTTGAAATGCGTGATTTCTCGGTATTTCTTCTATCAGAATGATCTTTTTTAATTATTGGAGTTTCGACTTTCTTAGACGAATCCAACTATAAGAAATCATCGAAAGTAGAAAAAGAAATTTTTTCACAATACATTAAACAAAGTTTTCAGAAAAAATGGCATTGCTAATCAAATGCTACAAACCAATAATGTGTTTGTAACAAGAAACCTTTTAATTAAGTCAGGATCATTTTACTTAACCTATCTTCAAACATTCATTCAATGCCAATATGTTAAGGGATAGGTTGAATAATCCAGACTTTGTATTTGATTAATCATTGAGTTTTAATGAAGCTGTTGCACTAATATTCTGGATTCTTCAGTCATTTTGCGTTTAAGATGAAAATAAAAAATTTAAGCTTTTAACTTTGCTAGGTTACTATCATTTTGCAATGAATTCTCTTTTTAAAAATGTTGTAGAGTGTATTGAAGATTATAAATGCATTGTATGACATAATCGTTTCATTGAATTTACAGGTATTTTTCTTTTCAAATAAGTCTTTTGCAAATATATTAGTTTCTTTCTGATATTATGATCACATTTGCTTGTTTATTTGTGTTTGTTTGAAACTCCCTTTCATGTTGAAAGAGAGTGATCGTTTTGTACAGTACTGTAATGCACGTGTTGAACAATACGTGGAAATATTAATACATTCATATTGTAATTACTGGTAAAATGTTTTTATGGAAAATCAATGAATTTTATCTGCATAGCATAATATCACCCGCTTTGATTCATTTTATTTTATTTGATTTTTTGTTTTTTTTCTAATTTCATTCCCATAATATGACATAATGATTAAGAGTATGATCATTCTTTTTTGGAAGACTGTGACATTGCCACTGTCCTCAAAATAATTGCTATTCTAAAAGGATACTTCCAGCCTTCATTCATCGTTATTCCGAATCAGCTTTGTTTTTTTTCCTTTGGATGCTTGCAAAAGAGAGTTATGGATAATGATCCAAACCGTCAAGCCATTGGTGGATTCATGCTGAGGTAAATTGTTGGTAGCAGTTTTAATTTCCGAAATTATTTGAATATTTCAGAACAGTGCATCTTTTGCAGTTAGTGCATATGTCGTGTATGGGCAAAAATTACCCACCGCTCATTGTTTTAATCCACTCGATTTGATAGAACTCAAATTTGCAATAGCAAAGTGAAATTTTGCTGAATCATTCTAAATTTTCTGAAACAAGAAATGTATATCAGAACAGGATGTAGAGACCAACATTGCAAGCCGACGAGCAATAACTGTGGGCATGTTGCTTTTTAATCGAGACATTTTCTCTTGCATTTCTTGTTTGAAATCGGAATTCGTGCTATGTTATAGTTTGTAGAAATCGGATGAACAAAGGTTATATCCAGGTCGTCGAAAGTTGCGAGAATACAATGCACATCTAATTTTGCAGTAACAAAGAATATAACAATAAACAAATTTCTTTTCCTATCTCAGTAACTTTGAAATCGAGATGGTATTATCCGTCGTAACAGTCTACTTGTCAACTACTAGAGAACATTTCCATTTTTCTCATTGGAGAAGGGGAGGGGAAGATCGTAGATTGTTGGGAATGGACAGACAAAAAACTTTATGGACGGGCAGAAAGCCTTACCTATAATCTGTAAAAATCATCGCTATTTTCACTATTATCATGAATTAAGTGTTCTGTATCAATTAATTTTATTTTTATGTTTTTGAAGAGCGCTTTGTTTATTTCATAGTTGAGGTATGTATTTATTAATGGCTACGTTTCGAAAAAAGCTAACAATTCATGTTACGTAGCATGTAGATAAGTGAGCACGTAGGACGAATTCATTATCCATTGATTTCATGCTACTGAAAGAAAGTGGAGCTGGTTTTGTGATTCCATTCTTGATGATGGCAAAGAGTGCATGACAAATTCACTTAATGAGAGGAATACATTGAAATTGGAAAGGATAAATTAAATTGAAACTGCAGCACATTCAAATTTGCAACGCATTTAGTCGGCGTTCTTCTATTTAACCGCTCACAAGTAATTAATTAGCCAGCTGGGTTTTGATAACCTATCGTTATTTTGACAGTATGAAATAGATCTGAATGTAATCACTAAAAGAATAGTACAATCTTAGTAAAAATACTTTTTCAGAGTGACACATCTATTTGATATTTTTGTAGGGAAACATATTGGAAATAGGGAGTTTTGAATAACAAGCGGATCCTTCAGAATACATTTTTCAGGTTTCATTTTCTATGTGGTAGCAGTGATTTTGGTATCATTAATAATGATTATTTATGTCGCACCACGTTTCGGCCGTTCTAACATTTTGGTGTATATTTTTATTTGCTCTATTATTGGCTCACTTTCTGTGTTATCTGTCAAAGGACTTGGTTTAGCCATTAAAGAAACAATTGGTGGAAAGCAACAGTTCACGAATTTTCTTACGTGGTTTTGGTTTGTTGCTGTAATTCTTTGCATTTCCGTACAACTGGTTGGTTTTTCCTTATTTTTATTTTTATAAATTAATAGAATGAAATATGGGGAGATCTATGCGACTTGGATCAAAAGAATATTTCCAAATTATTACAATGCGATTATAAATACAAAAATATTCAAATTCGGCATTTTTGCTTCTCCTAGATTTCAGAAAAACATAGCGAAGTTCGGTTTTTAAAAATTTTTCCTTGAGTTTATAATTGCATTGTAATGAGAATTGAAGAAAATTTATGCCCGAGAAAAAAAAAAGGTTTTGAAACAAAAAGGTAGAAAGGTAGAAAAAAAGGTAGAAAGAAAGGTTTTGGTTAGGTGTTGAGTAGATTCATCACCAAGTTATATAAAAGTAGTTGGTTTAGGTCTTTTAAATTTATTATTTGTTTGAGCAGTAGTTGGAAAGCCCGAGCAGAGGATGATGCGGAAGAAGTAATTTAAAGAAAAAATGTTATCTGTGTAGCTGAGTACTAAGACTCTATGAATATCTGCTCGGGAAGATGGCCGTATTATCGACCGAACACGAGAAAGTAAAAGTTTAGAAGGAATCGTTATAATTTTTTTTGAGATATATTTGAATAAATCCTTGGATATGTACAACACATCGATGGTAACACCTATATACTACGTGTTCTTCACAACATTTGTAATACTGGCTTCATCGATTTTATACAAGGAATGGTCTCGCTTGGGTGCAAGCGATGTTTTAGGCAATGTTGTCGGCTTCCTAATCACTATTATTGGCATTTTCCAGGTGAAAGTTACAAGGATGTGACTGATTTTCCTAATTTCGATTCAAATTTTAGTTATCTCAAGGAAATTCTTACGTGGAAAATTAATCTAAAACGATAAGTGAAATTTTTTTAATAGACAGATGCAGTTATTTTTTAATGGACAGATGCAGTTAACAGATGCAGTTTTAACTGTTTACAGATGCAGTTATTCCGTGATGTAAATATAACGCTGCGACATTTGAGAATGCTTATCCATAAATCTTCGACAAACATAAATTCATTTGAAACAATGAGCAGTGCTACATCGTTGGTCGATGATTTGCCAAGCGATACTGCGAACCCTCAACAAATTTACACTTAGTACAGCGATAAGCATTTTATTTTTTGTAGTATAATTTTAGTGTAGCGTTAGTATGAACTAGAAAGTATAGATTTGAGAGATGTCATTATAGGTTTCCAAAGACTTATTTCTCCGTATTAATTATTATGATGTCACAAAGCATTTTGAAGAATTCTTTTCATCAATTTTTAGTGATTATCGTTTAAGGAAAACAGGATCCTTGTGGCATTCTTGATCTTGTTTACTAAAATTGTTTAAAAATCAGCAGATCTGCAAATTGTAGGCTTATTTTGCTTACTGAATAGTTGAAATGACATATGTTTCCTTTGCCAGCTCTGCAATAGGAAAACATCGATGTTATCAAAATCTTTTATCCTTTGGAAAATTTGAATTTCCACTTTAGTCTGTGTTGCAAAGATTTTTAAATGAGAATAAAAGTTTAGAAGGGCTGCATAGATGCTTTACTTAGAGAGACTATTTAGATGCATTATGTTGAAAAAAGAAGGTTTGCTAAAGAAATGTAGGAATGGAAGAGCAGAATCATTTCTATGATTTTGATGTAATCAATAAAAATAATGGTACTCCAAAAAAATTAGAGATTGTAGAAATTTTGTATTGCCGCGTTTGAAGTCGAGCAATGCATTTCATTGAGATATGAGAATCCTATTTTAATTGTATTCTGCCTCAAGTCATTTATTTCACGTAGCATGAGGATTTGGCAAAAGATTCTGCTTTTGCAAAACAAGCTTTTTTTCAAATTATTGGTCATAACTGCATATTCTCCATTTATGGGAACTTTTTTTTGATTATTTTTCGTAGCTGTTTTTTTTTTATCAAAACTCTATTTAATTGACTCAGTTGAAATGCGTGATTTCTCGGTATTTCTTCTATCAGAATGATCTTTTTTAATTATTGGAGTTTCGACTTTCTTAGACGAATCCAACTATAAGAAATCATCGAAAGTAGAAAAAGAAATTTTTTCACAATACATTAAACAAAGTTTTCAGAAAAAATGGCATTGCTAATCAAATGCTACAAACCAATAATGTGTTTGTAACAAGAAACCTTTTAATTAAGTCAGGATCATTTTACTTAACCTATCTTCAAACATTCATTCAATGCCAATATGTTAAGGGATAGGTTGAATAATCCAGACTTTGTATTTGATTAATCATTGAGTTTTAATGAAGCTGTTGCACTAATATTCTGGATTCTTCAGTCATTTTGCGTTTAAGATGAAAATAAAAAATTTAAGCTTTTAACTTTGCTAGGTTACTATCATTTTGCAATGAATTCTCTTTTTAAAAATGTTGTAGAGTGTATTGAAGATTATAAATGCATTGTATGACATAATCGTTTCATTGAATTTACAGGTATTTTTCTTTTCAAATAAGTCTTTTGCAAATATATTAGTTTCTTTCTGATATTATGATCACATTTGCTTGTTTATTTGTGTTTGTTTGAAACTCCCTTTCATGTTGAAAGAGAGTGATCGTTTTGTACAGTACTGTAATGCACGTGTTGAACAATACGTGGAAATATTAATACATTCATATTGTAATTACTGGTAAAATGTTTTTATGGAAAATCAATGAATTTTATCTGCATAGCATAATATCACCCGCTTTGATTCATTTTATTTTATTTGATTTTTTGTTTTTTTTCTAATTTCATTCCCATAATATGACATAATGATTAAGAGTATGATCATTCTTTTTTGGAAGACTGTGACATTGCCACTGTCCTCAAAATAATTGCTATTCTAAAAGGATACTTCCAGCCTTCATTCATCGTTATTCCGAATCAGCTTTGTTTTTTTTCCTTTGGATGCTTGCAAAAGAGAGTTATGGATAATGATCCAAACCGTCAAGCCATTGGTGGATTCATGCTGAGGTAAATTGTTGGTAGCAGTTTTAATTTCCGAAATTATTTGAATATTTCAGAACAGTGCATCTTTTGCAGTTAGTGCATATGTCGTGTATGGGCAAAAATTACCCACCGCTCATTGTTTTAATCCACTCGATTTGATAGAACTCAAATTTGCAATAGCAAAGTGAAATTTTGCTGAATCATTCTAAATTTTCTGAAACAAGAAATGTATATCAGAACAGGATGTAGAGACCAACATTGCAAGCCGACGAGCAATAACTGTGGGCATGTTGCTTTTTAATCGAGACATTTTCTCTTGCATTTCTTGTTTGAAATCGGAATTCGTGCTATGTTATAGTTTGTAGAAATCGGATGAACAAAGGTTATATCCAGGTCGTCGAAAGTTGCGAGAATACAATGCACATCTAATTTTGCAGTAACAAAGAATATAACAATAAACAAATTTCTTTTCCTATCTCAGTAACTTTGAAATCGAGATGGTATTATCCGTCGTAACAGTCTACTTGTCAACTACTAGAGAACATTTCCATTTTTCTCATTGGAGAAGGGGAGGGGAAGATCGTAGATTGTTGGGAATGGACAGACAAAAAACTTTATGGACGGGCAGAAAGCCTTACCTATAATCTGTAAAAATCATCGCTATTTTCACTATTATCATGAATTAAGTGTTCTGTATCAATTAATTTTATTTTTATGTTTTTGAAGAGCGCTTTGTTTATTTCATAGTTGAGGTATGTATTTATTAATGGCTACGTTTCGAAAAAAGCTAACAATTCATGTTACGTAGCATGTAGATAAGTGAGCACGTAGGACGAATTCATTATCCATTGATTTCATGCTACTGAAAGAAAGTGGAGCTGGTTTTGTGATTCCATTCTTGATGATGGCAAAGAGTGCATGACAAATTCACTTAATGAGAGGAATACATTGAAATTGGAAAGGATAAATTAAATTGAAACTGCAGCACATTCAAATTTGCAACGCATTTAGTCGGCGTTCTTCTATTTAACCGCTCACAAGTAATTAATTAGCCAGCTGGGTTTTGATAACCTATCGTTATTTTGACAGTATGAAATAGATCTGAATGTAATCACTAAAAGAATAGTACAATCTTAGTAAAAATACTTTTTCAGAGTGACACATCTATTTGATATTTTTGTAGGGAAACAAATCTGTTGGCATATTATATTGTTTTTGTTAACCCAAATTCTGTAAATATTTTTTGATGATTTATCATATTGGATGATTTATCATCATTAATTCATCTCCACATTATTATGATAGTTCCTCTTCAATTCGATTGAAGACTGAAGAGGATTGTTGTTACAACCCTAGAACAATTGTTCGCTAAATTGGGTAGAAAAAGCAGCGGCTTCATAGACTCTAAACTGCATATACTATGGCAAAGTGAAGAGTGAAGTGAGCATATACTATGATAAAGTGAAGAATGAAATGGAACTTAACTCTGATCTTTCATCAAATAATTGAGAATACTTACAGGTCAACTTATTCGAATGTTGTTCTAAAAACCAGATATCAATGAAAAGATGAGGCAAATTGCTATGTTTGCTTTGTACATTGGCCAGATGAAAACTTAGCTACATATGGCCAAATGAAAAGTTCAAGAATTAGATAGAGAGCTCTTCAATTGCAGAAGTGGAGTACTTTAGGTTTCTTGTTTTTATAGGCGATTGTTGCTTGGTAATCTTTTTTCCAAATACATAAAATAAATTTCAAATTTAATTTATCCCTTTGTCGTTTAATTTAAATTTAATTTAAAAATATATTATTTTTAGTCGTTTAATAATAATGAAGTTTAATGAGCCTATCAGACATATTACAGAATAATCATTCCGGAGCACAACTTTCATATTGTCTGTTTTTAAACAATATGAAAGTTAGTGGTATTTTCTCATTCCACTCTTCTCTCACGACAAAAACGCTACCAGCCTCCAGTTACAGCTCTTAATCTCTTGAATCGAACTCAACGTTAAAAAAGACACTGATGAAATCAGACTACTATAATTATTCATACTTTTCTTACGGGAATGTTTTGGATATTGTCTTCATTCTGAACTTTTAATTTATTTTAAATTTTTTACTTAAAAGTGCATTTATAGCTTAGACGAATATGAAATCCTAAATATGACAGTCTTAATTATTCTGTGTTTATTTTTTCTTCTTGATAGTACTTTTACTTACGCATTTCTACGAAATGAAAAAGAATTGTAAATCAGTGCGATGTTATTTACTTTCCAATCCACTATTAAGTTTGCTTTCTGTTATTGTAGACCAACACTACTAGTTTGTTTCCGTTTCCGAAATTAATTCATGTTTTTTTCCCAGAAGTAATTCGTAAAATTCTAACGCTTAAACTTCCATACTTTTCGGTCTTTGGAACTTGAGCAATTTTACAACATTGTTTTCTTATCCTGTTTACACTCTGCTTTGTTCAGACATGCCTTAATTTCTACCATTTCGCCGAAACGAGATCAAGTCCAGTTTTATAGAAATTCATTCCATTAAACATTCACTAGTAAGTCAAATGTCATTTATATCATGTCTTATACGAAATCCCACCAATTATTTGGAGAAAAAGTTCCTTACTTATTAGAAAGCTAGCATACAGCGCTCTTCTAAGAATTCAACTCAAGCTAATATATTGTCATTCATAAATTGACTATTCGACAATAATACAAGCTATTTTTACCATTTCTCTCTCGCCTTTTAATGATAGGCTAATCATAGACCATTAAATGATGCTTCTAAAAAGCAAGTAAGACCACCTCCTATCATGAATGCTGGGCCCCCCTTACCATTTCATGGTCGTTAGTTGATAGCTCTACCAACACATCTCTTCGATTCCGACATATACCGAATATCCGAATTGGGCGAACTTTGTTGAAATTAAAATTCGATTTGGTGGAAGAGGTGGGAAGGCTCAGGGGTGGGTCAGCTGCCAGCTTCAGGAAGGAGGTGTCAATAGCCCGCTTGTTGTGGAGTAGTTGAGTGGCTTTTGAATGGCGGGGGGAGGAAGAAGATCAGAGGTCAAGTGGAAACGCACTGGTAGTCCCTGTGGGTTTGCTCATTAGTTTATAATTCGTTTATATTACACTATACTCTACTGCTCGTCTTTTTTTCCGTTTTTATAAAATTTCATGGAAATTTTTTTCAGCGTTTGCTTATCGATAAGCTTGGTTCATACGGAGATTAATCTCAGGAAGAGTTGGAATGATTTCCGTGTTTCTCTCACGAATTGTTGTGCTCACAGCCGGCACCCTCTACCCTGCATACCGAAGCTATAAAGCCGTCAGAACGAAGGTTTTTTTCTATGAACTATCTTAAAAAATGAAACTTTCAAGTTTACTGAAACAGGAAACCCATGACTAAGATCCAGAGTAAAGTCATCGAAATACTCCCTACTGAGATGACACCACTGTCCTTTTGTTGCGTAGTACATCTGCTGATCTTAGCATAGTTATGCACCAGAAGGACCAATCAGGACGGTCTTGAGGGAGCTTACTGAACATTGCATCGAAGCTTTTCTTTCTTCACTAACTGACAGTTCTGACTGCTTGGTGCCAACCGATCAACCATTCTTTTTTGGATATCGTGGTCTAGGCAGTAGTGGACTGGCCACTCGACATTGTCTACTTATTGTTATTCCTATATCTCAGTGACGTGTGTAGATTTGAACAAAAAACCATGGATGATGTTCATTATATTTTGAGGAAAATGATTTGTATTATTACCTTTTCATGCTTAATTGGATTGTGGTGTAATTTAAGTTAAGCTAACTCATAGTTAATTAGATTTTTAGGACTTTCTGCAACTTTTAGCTTTTGTTAAACTAAGATCGGACAGTTAATACTAAAAAACCATGCTATGTTTAGAGGTAAGCCAGTTTTTTCAAATACCATTTTTCCAGTTAAAATATGCAGAACTATTACTTGAAAATTTTTCAGGATGTAAGAGAATATGTTAAATGGATGATGTATTGGATTGTTTTCGCTTTCTTCTGCTTCGTAGAAACAATTGCTGACGTCATTGTTTCATTTTGGCTACCGTTTTATTATGAATTAAAAATTATTTTCGTTTTATGGTTGTTGAGTCCATGGACCAAAGGCGCTTCAATCTTATATAGGAAGGTAACTTGAATAAATTGTTTTGGTTAATTGTTTTTTGTTAGTTAGTGTTGCAAAGTTGCTGGGTATATCTTTTGCAAGGCTATTATACCTAATTTCACATTTTAATACTTGTTATGTTAGAACCTGTTTTCTTCAGCAATTTTTGTAATCAGCATTCGATGAAATAAATTAGAACAAGCAAATATTAAATAGCATTGATCTTAAGCAAGCAAATATAAGTATATTTCCAAATGTTGCATTTTTTCAATATCATCGTTACAGTGGGTACATCCAACATTAACGAAACACGAAAGAGATATTGATCTGCTGCTCGAACATGCCAAGTCTGAAAGTTATAATCAGGTCAATTATCACAATTAATTAATGTTATCTAAGTATTCCGCTAGATTGAAGAATGAAACATTCATGAACATTTTATGATTTTTTATTGATTTAATTTGGTTTTTAGAGTTTGGAATATTCAGGTGACCATTTTAAGGTAATGCGATTAGGTAGCAGAGGAATATTGTGTGCTCGTGAAATTATTGCAACTGCCGCATTGCGAGGACAAGCACAGCTAGTACAACAACTGCAGCGCTCATATAGCACCAGCGATATTAATAGGTACAGTCCTTGAATGAAGCTTGAAGAATTATAATTCATCATTTAGCTTTATAATTATGCCTTTGATGTACTAACATAGTATTCTGTTTTAATCATTAAGTTTAAATTCAAGGGGATCATCATCGTCAAAACTGATCCGCGTAACGGAAATCCAGGAAGACGATGAACACGAAGGCAGTGATACTGTAGATGTTTTGGAAGGAGAGATTACTGCCGTAAGTTCAATTTTCCAAAGGCTGCGAGTCATGTTTATCGAAATTTTCTTAACTCAAATTTAAGACTGAAACAATTAACAGAAATGAAATACAAGTTTTTTCGTACCTTTTAAATGACTTTTTAAGTAACTTCAATTTTTTTGATAAACCGCGGCAGAATTTTTAAATGTTTCTTGTACTTTTGTTGTTAGTTTCCTTCATTTTGCTTCTGGAAACTGTGGTTAGTACTAAAAAGTTGCCGTAAACTGAGAAAGGACTATTATATTTATAGGAAAGGATATCTAAATCCCAATTAGTGTATGGGTATATATACATGGTTGTTACTTTTACCGTGAGTCACACAAACAGCTGTCGTATCAGTCTTGCATAAACACTAAACTAAAAAAATTTGACGTCGTAAAAATGTTTGATCTGTTATTGCTTTCGTTCCACCACAACGATGAAAGTATAGCTTTTTTTTTTCCAGTTTGGTAGTAGAGTATGAATATCAATTTTGTTTGCTTATAGAATGAAGAACGGGATGATCGAAGTGAAGCATCAGGTGTGCGTCGTAGTTCAAGGCGTCGAAGATCGCCCACATCGGAAACAATTTACAATACATTACCGCGTCGGACAACACGTCAACATAAATAATCTCAATCGTAATATTCCTGATTCGAATTTTTCTGACTTAAAGTATTTTTCTATTTTTGGATGTCGACATCCGTTGTATACATCTTAATTGTACAGACGACGATTAATTGAATTGTAGTATATTACTGATTGAACTATAAGGTCGAATAGTTTGAAATGTTAATGAGTAACCTTTTCCTATGTTTTATAAAAGCATAAGCTAATCTTTTGAAGCTTTTTTTTTAGGAATTAAAAAAGTTTTTAAAGATTATTTTTTTCTTAAATTCATACAGTTGGATATTCCCCATTGCTAACTCTTTTAGCTCAATTTTGACTTCATACACAATATTGATGGGGCTTACATTAATTTTGCTTATTTTGAAACTTCCAAATTTCAAGCTTACTTTGCAAATACTTCACATACTTCACATATTAGTCATTTAGTAGCCGAAGTTAACATGCTGACTATAAGTTAACGCGCCACAACTCTCTCGGTTCATTTTCTTTATTTTCCTCTCCCTGCGCTTTCTCATATTTATGAAACTTTGGAATAGCAACGTCCATACTTTCGTATTGTATCATCATTTGTACTATCAGATATTTAGCACTTCTCGGCTAAGTTTTTCTGTTTCTTTTTCTCTCTTGTTTCCACGCATTCTATTTTATGAAAGGATGAATCCCTCGTAACTTTAGTTAGATGGTTTATTTAATCTTTGCAAATGCCACACGTATTATTTTAATGCCTTTGTCTTTCCGCTTCAGTTCTAACTGCTAATTTCCTAAAATCTGTTGATAGATTCCTTTGCTTTGCCCTTGAAATTTTAAAAAGTTCAAATTAGGGGAGTCAGTGCATTGGAGCGTAGATATCCTTGAAAAATGAAGTTGCGTTTTTGGAATTAGGTATTATAAAATGTTTTGAAAAAATGTACTTGAAAATTATTTGCAAATTGAGTTTTGTTCACTTTTTCATCACTCTTTGATCAGTGCACAGTACTTTTTTCGTACTATTTTTTTCGATTTGTGCCTTGAGGTACAAGGTTTTTGTCAAACCAAAAAACAATTTCCAACCTCACTTGAATTCAGGTTTTTTTGAATTCCAACCAATTATTTGGATTAATTCGGAATTCATTCTATTAACGACATGATTTTTTGCAGTCAATAAGTTTTTTGAACCAATTTGTACTACATTCATCTTTTTAATCAAAATGCATAAAAATTCGGAAAAAATTAACTTTTTTGAATATTTTAACTTCTTTGAAAATATCGTTATTCTCATCGCTTTACTTCCCATCCATTAGTGCCAGAGTCCCGCTATCACCTATTTTTTTAAAGGTTCTTTTGAAGATATTGGATGTAAAGCTTTTATTAATACTCTATTTGCTGTGTTGTCATTTGCCAGCATGGAGGAGCACGTAATGTATTTTATTTCCTGAAGGCCTATATTATTTAAATTTGATTGTTGATTCTACATGTTGATTTGCAATCTTTTTTTACTACTTTTTGAAGTGATTTGTTTCTTTCATTGTACATTTATTTTGCTTTTCTCTTTTTTTGCTCACAAATAATGGAAATAAATTTGAAACCGTATAGTGCGTAAATGATGAAATGGTACTACACAAATCATCGTTTCATTAGATAGTGCTAATGCTGTCTAATGAAGTCTGAGGTTGTTAGCCATATTCCATATTGTTTTTTTTTTCTTACTCTGCTGCAGTATATGAAGCAGTGAAATTTTGGAGTGAGCCATGTTTTCCCAAAAGATGAATTCGTTAAAAATTAGTCAGGAGATTGCTGCTGGTGTTTATTCGTGATGTAGGTCGATCCTCTTATTGGAAAATTTCTGTGGCATGCTTTATATTGTTACTTAAGTTATTTTTAAGACTTTTATGTGGTCGAGGTGAACTGCATTAAGAATTTCTTGTTATGTCTAGCTTATTCGAGGTTGTTGGTCACGTTTAAAACTTTCGGGTGGTTTTTACGCTATTTGATTTTTTTTTTGTTAGAGGTCAGTTTCGAGGACTTAATTAAATGGCTAGCGATGATGGTTTGGACTGTTTGAAAGGCAGATCGGATACAAAAGGTGGTTTGTTCATTCGTAAAGGGAAGGATATTAATGATGAACTCTTTAAACATCCCGGAAAGTCGCTTATTGGTTTGGATGTGCTGGCGAAGTCACGTGCGCGAGTTGAGGCAAATTCTCGGAAGCGTCGAGTCGAAGATAGCTCACCTGGTGGCCTTTCAGAAAGTATACATAAGCAAATTGCCGTGTGAGTTGCGTTACTTTCCGACATTTTAAACAAATATTTGAAATTAGGAGGGCAGAAAAGCATGAAGTCTATGATTAGCTTCTTTTTCTTGTAGTGGGAGGAAGAAAAAAATGAATAAATTTGTTTTCCAGTGATTTTCGATGATTTATTTGATTTCGATACTCTGCTAACATCAGTGACTGAAACTATCCATGATAGGCCGATTTAGATTGCACCGATGATTTTTTGCAGCTATGTAATCGAGAAGTATAAAGGAGAAAGACGCGGAATTTATGCAGATACGAGGAGGAATGAATGTAGGGAAAAAAGCCGTTATCATGACAAAGGAAGCTGGCAGAAGCATTCTAGACGTCAGAGCGCACGAGATCGAGATGCAGAAACCCCTGTTTTTAAGGTGAGATCAAATGAATCTTCGGTATTTTTGATAGAATTGAGCATGGATATGTTGCCAGCACACAACGTTGGTCTACTCCAAAAGATAAGGGTGGGTGAATTAAAATACATAGCTTTTTCTGTTGGTAACATATCTGGCTTCAATATCGCAATCCTCTAGTATATTATAATTGCTTTAGGCACCTGATACTCCATCACGTTCAGCCTGGGAAGAGGATGATTCAGCACAAATATCAAAAAGATACCATTCAAACTGGGATACACCAACTTCATCTGGTTTTTATGATGATATATCTTCGGCTCGTAGTGTTTCAAGCATTTGGCAAAGTGAACGGAATCGAAAACGACAAAAGCGTAGTAAAAAAAGGTAAATTAGCCGATACATTCTATAATTGTCTTTGAGTTAAAGTGAAGCAGTAGATAAAATACAGTAGATAGCTACAATAGTGAAGCAGTAGTTACAATAGAGATAGGAAATTTTTGTGCCTGAGCTATTTTTTTCTTTCGCTCATTTTGTAAATAAAATTTACATTCGCCCCTCATGCGGTAATACAACTAAGAATTTTCAGCATTCAGGAAAAAAAATACCAGATTTAGCGATGCTAATCTCTACACTATTCTTTTTACAGATTTGTGCTAATACCTTGAATCATTAGATAATAATTTGACGCCGAAAGACCTCATTATTTGCACTCTCTCAAGTGCTTTTCGTTTTCGTACAATGCAACTGGGCTCACTGTAATATGCTTCCGTTAGATTTGAGGAATATAACTAATCTGTATTTCGGGTAGAGAAATGAAAGGTATATTCCAGGAATCGAGAGGATACGATTCGTTCTGTTAAGGAGGAAGGAGAGTTGGTTCCGGATTTTCGTGATGCTTTTGAAAAAGCAGAATGGGAGCGAGAACAACAAAAATTGGATCGTGATTGGTACGACAATGACCAAGGTTATGATGACGAAAACAATCCATTTTTTCAGGTTCTTTTTTGTAGTTTAAATTTTTCAGATAAAAATTTCACATATACTAATTAATTGCTTATTGAATATACAAAAACTGTAGTGTGATTCTCTAAAACGCTGTTTTTTTTCTGCCAAAAATGTACAAACCTTATTCAATATAGGTTTCGCAAGAATATATAGAAAAGAAAGAGAGGCAATGGGAACAAAAACGTGAAAAGCCCCGCCTTACGGTTCGCCAACAACAGATCAAAAAGGACAATAAAATGTGGGAAAATAATCGACTGGCAAGATCAGGTTAGCAGCTAATAACTACATTTTATGCATTTTAATTTGCCCTATACTTATAAATTTATCTTACATATTTTAGTTTTATCCTGTGTGGGAATTCTTCTTTATTCTTGCCAAAATTAAGTGCTCCGGAGTGCAATATATGTTATTATATTCATTGTACATCACTAATGAGCAAATCTCTATCTGTATTCGGTCAAACTCAATAATTAATACAATTTTTTTTTGAGGTGTTGTATCGCTAACTGATGATGACGATTTTCTCGATGATGAATCGGATGAAAATCGAGTAACACTGCTGGTGCAAAATGTCGTTCCACCATTTTTGGATGGACGTTTTATATTTACAAAACAAAATAAACCAGTTGTTCCTGTGAAGGACATAACTTCTGATCTCGCTGTTGTTGCTGCGAAAGGAAGCAAGGTAACTTTGCAATTTTTTTAAGTTGGAACTAGATTACTAATACATTTATTCTTTAATAGGTTGTCCGGATGTGGCGTGAAAAAGAAGAGCAAAAACGAGCACAGGAAAAGCATTGGGATTTGGCAGGTTCTAAACTGGGTAATTTGATGGGCATTAAAACAATACCGGATGAGACGAGCAGCGATAGTGTTGGGATATCCTATAGGTAGGTTCAGAGTTTTCATGGACAGTTTTTTTTATTTTGTGCTGGTTTTGCAAAGTTTAGGGTCTTTTTTGTCTCTTTATTCAATTATTTTTGATTTATCATTCTTTTGCGGATCTCAGTGAGTCATATCTGCGAAAGAATATATTGCATCATATCAGTGATCTAATTCACATCATCTCAGTGAATTAGATTTACAAATTGAAACATCTAGGAGACAAACTCTTCAATTTTCGTTAGATTTTAATTCAGGTAATTATGGGTGATTTTGGTAATGTTTTTAAGAATCACCGATCAAAAATCATAATATTGCAGAACCATTTTGTGACATTTTTTATATGTAACACCTTTTTGGTATACTGTTCTGCCAGATTTCGGTCGCGACAAAAAGTACATAAGGATTTTTCGTCCTGAATTGTATACCATAATTTGTTATGAATTGAAATGAGGATTTGATGCGAAGCGATTAATTAAAGAGACTGCGAA